TAGCTACTGTTTGCATTTGGTGAAATTGGTTAATATGGCTCATGGTTGCTACTGTTTGCATTGATGTTAACTACAAGAATAATTTGGATGTACTGAAGTTATACGGTTGCACAAGAAAGTGCACCTCATGAGCGGGTAGTTAATCTGTCATATGTGTGATATAATTTTGATCTCAATAATTGCCCCATGCATCTGAGTTGTTAAGATCACTTGTGCGCTAAATGCTAAATTGGTTATTTTGGTTGATATGTTGTGGATATTGATTCAGTGGTGACTATCTGAGATCTTAGAAACTGAATTTATTGCTGATTGAAAGAGATAAATGTGAGAATTGGATGATTGTGAAGACAATAATGGGTAATCTACAGGCTGATTGAGATGTTTGGTAAAATTGATGTGTTGAATCATCTGTTTTTATACATGCCTGCAATGAACTGATAACTGATTGTTGGGTACACTAATCAATGCTTATAGTTTTCTGAGTAAGCATGTGATAATTTCTTGCAGTCTGATGTGGTAGAAATACCCTGTTTGTCATGCCCTACAAGGACCCACGATGGAAATTAAATTTGGAAATTTAATGCATGTTTTTCACTGTTAAACTTTCACACTGACATACATAAATTCCATTGTTTTGTGGTACTTTTCTGAGTGCAGGGTAAAAAGAACACAAAGAAAGCAGCTGGGCCAGGCAGTAAAAAGAAAGGAGAGAGTAGTGCAGCTGGCACTAAGAGGCCCAGGGCTTCTTCTTCTGCTGAGTTTGATAATACCCGGTTCCTCACACCTGCTTCCCAGGACCGGTACTTCAATTGGTATATACATAAAAAGATTATTCATGAGAGAACAATCAGTGAAAACATGGATGAAGATTGCCCAGTGCGGAAGACCATAGAGAGGAGAAAGTGGCAGAATTTGGTGCAATTTCCTGCAGCCAGCTCTAGCACCATACTAAAAGAATTTTGTGCAAATGCTGACAAGGAAACAGTGGACCGGATTAGGAAGAGTTGGGTGAGGGGGAAGGAAGTCTCCTTCACAACCTTTGCTATTGAGAGGTTCTTTAAAACCTCCTGGGATGCTACCAAGAGATGTCACTTCACTAAAACTTTTAACAGCCTACAGCCCACTAAAGTACTGTATAGAGAGGACATGTCTGACATTGCTGAAAGAGTCGGGATAGCCATCACTCAGCCACAGTCTGCTTGGAAGCGCAAGAGTGGTCAACCAGATGTGCCAGAAAAGTTAGATCGCCTGGACCTTAATGAGGAGGCCATTTTCTGGCATTCTTTCATCAACTCCAACATTATAGTTTCCACCAATCTGAGTGATGTCAATGTGGAGAGAGCAGTACTGTTGTATACTCTCCTGGGGGAGGAGAATCTCCACATTGGAGCTATTCTGTCTGATAGGATAGTTTCCATCATCACTCAGGGAAAGCCTGACCTTCGCCTAGCACATTGCTAATTGATTGAACAACTATGTGTGCAGGCTGGAGTGGAGATACCAGAGGAGGAGCCCCGAGATATCAAAGTTAAGCGGGAAATGACCCATAGCCACTATTGGGCTATGAGGAATGAGTCACGAAAACAGGAAATATGGAAGGCATCTGACGACACACTACCCCCACCTCCACCGGCATCACCTGAGCCGGATGATGAGCCATCAGCAGCAGCCGTAGCCCCCACCGCTGATTCCCTACTCCTCCAGGCTCTGGATCGTCGCACACGGCGGATGCAGATTGAGCACCAGTATATCATGACGATGATGGAGAGGCTCTGCAGTGATCGCGGGATTGACACTGCCAGTTTCAGGCCTGAGTTCCCACCACCTTCACCACCTCCTCCGCAGGCTGAGCCACCTGTAGCTCCGGCTGCGGCTGCTGATCATGTTGCTGATGATGCTGCCATTGCTGATCTTGATGATGATGCCGTCATGGACGACTCGTGATTTTTATTTTCCATTGCATCACTATCACTCACTTCACCCTGACATTCACTTAGGCATTTTATTTTGCTGTTTTGAGTACTTTGTTGGATTATTTTGGTTGGATTATTTCTCCTTATGCAGTACGCTTTGATGATTATTTTGTTTTTATTGTTTAACAAGTGTGTGTGTGTGTGTGTGTGTTCCACCTGGCAGAATTAGCCTTTCGACTAGTCTAGTTTGTTGCTGAGGACATCAACGTTCTAAATCTGGGAATTGTCGCATGCTGTATGCGAGACTTGCTAAATACTGCGGAACTACACAACGAAAAGGACGTCTAAACAGAAATTTTTCTGAAAAAGGGGAGATATTTTAACCTTCAATTTTTTTTTTTCTGTTTTCATTAGATTCAATTTTTAAAGAAAAAGAAAGAAAAAATTTAGAGAATTCCTGAACAAGCAGTCCCATAGTGTTTTAAGCTTACTCAGTAAGTAATTAGATTGTGTTAGAGGAAGCATGAAATCTGTGAACAATTAATTGTTTTTATCTGAGAATGATGACTGCTCGTTTTTATAACTGTTTTGGTGAAAATTTTGCATAATGCTTGATGAGAAACTTTGAATTTCAATTCTAGTTTGAATTATAACTGTAAAGATTTGAGGCTAAACAGAAATTATTTTTCTGTTTAGAATTACTTTTACAAAATAAGATGTTGTTTGGAATTACTTTTACAAAACACTGATCAAAAACAAGTTTTTTTTTTTGTTTTTTTATTCTTAAAACAAGAAAACTGTTTTACGAAATAGAAATCAAACGGAGCCTTATACTTTCTAATAATGTTTGAAATTAGTTTTTTTATAACTTGATAACAAACAATGTGGTGATTAAAAAAGAGTAAACATTTTAGTTGTGAGAATAAAAAAATGGAATGTGCATAATGTTTTGGATAAGGTACTTCATACACGGTTTTATTATTTTTTGTGATATTCGGGACAATAATTGTGTTTCACTATATAATTTTTTTTGTATGTATATACATAATTATCATTTTCCTTGAAATCATGGAATGGATGATCATTCTCCATGTCAAAAGTAACATTAGTTCTCATAATTAATTGGTCACCAGAATAGCATGGTAAGGGGAAATGGATTGGTCTAAAAGAGATCCCCATTTTTGAATTGTAATTTTCTCAAATTTTAGTTCGAATGAGTATGCAATTTACAAAAAAATAAATAAATAAATAAATAAAACGGTAGAATTTATGTAACGTTTGGGAAAGTAATTCTTGAGTTGGACTCAAAGGTGGAGACGGAAATTTTGAAAGAGGCTGTTGGCAACCGGTCTACAGCTCGGATAAGAAAATCAACTGGTTGCTATAGAGAACTTGGCAAGGCAGATAAAGCATACCTTTTGGAAGGGGAATTTCCGTGCCATTTTAGTGGTGCTTGTTACATGCATAATTTTTTTTTTTTTTTTTTCTATATTACTGGTAATAGGAATGTTGCGATAGGCATAAAAGATTTCCACGTTTGTTTCAAAAATTTAGAAAAGATTTTTACTCAAAACTCATTCTAGGAATATATTTTTAGGATCCTTCCCACTAAATCTTGCCTATGGAAGGAGATAGGTATTGTTCATTTCCATGGTAAAGGAATGATTGATGTCATACAAAACTATTCTTATTCACCCTTTTCTTCAACGCATTATCTCTGTCTGCATCTTGTCCACTCTTGCCGTCACCATCTTCATCCTTATTGGCATTCCCCAACATCTGTATCTCCAGTAAACGATTTCTGGCCTTCCATCAACCCGTTCCCGTGTTCACCAACTTTTGCTCTATGTAACAATTACACTGAAGTAAATGCTTGAGATGAGTGTGTACATTATTTTTTTTTTAAAAGATATTTCCAATTGATTCATCTCTTCCTGATTAGTCCAATTCGGGGCGATTCTCTGGATTAAGGCTTTAAATGCCTCTCAAAAACATAAACATATGATCTCACATTTACCTGCTCAGGTCCTCGACACCAATTGAGCTACCATCTATGTAGTACCGATACCGACACGGGACACGGGACGACACTACACTCTGACACGTTAATTCTAAATAATATTAAATTTCGACATGTTAGGACACATTTTGATATTAAATAATACTTTTAATTTATGTAGTGTATATTTAATATTCAATAATTTAACAAAAAAATGAAACTAAACTTATAATATTCATCAATTTTGCAAAGAAATAAATATATTATATTAAACTCAATAAAATTGTAATTGTAATCCAACGAATTTAATAGTTGGAACCAAAAACTCAACGCAGTGCAACCTTTGAATTTTTTTTGAATTTCTATAACGCGTGTTGGAGTATCGGAGTGTGTCGGGAAGTGTCGGACTCGACACGTCAGGGTTTTTAAAGTGTCGGTGCTTTTTTGGCTACCATCACTTGGTAAGTGTGTTCATTATTTACTATGAAGTAAATTGCTCAACATTTAGTAATTAAATTTTTTTAAAAAACCACATGCTTACCAATGAATTATTTAACAAAATAATTTGGAAACTATTTTTAGCTAATTACATTTCAATAGAGGAGGTAGTAGCTGATCACACTTGTCAGGTTCAGGCTTTACGCACTAAATAATATAGTGGTTAGACTTGTAATATTAAGTCGAAATTTATCATAAAAAATCTACTCATATATATTCAACTCCCTCCCCTGCCCTTCTCCTGGATTCATATATTCTGCATGTAAAAATATGACATAAAATATAATGCATTATTAAATTAAATATGAGCAGTTACAAAATTAACAAAATATTACTCTGAAAATATATTCCAATTTGGCTCTACAGCAAAGCAGGGCAGCATAATAGTGCTGATATTATTTTCCTTAGATGGCCTTCTATACTCGGAAGGGGCATAGAAATTTTATAATTTCGGTGAGCAGTGTCGTAAATAAATTATGATTTAGATGATTCCAAAACAATCAACAATGAATAACAAACTATTCACATGAAGTAGCTCACAAAATTAAGATATAAAAAGGATCAAGAGGTGGCTGGTAAGGAAAGAAGGGGGGAAAAAACAACAATACTCAATAGTCAATACTCAGTACTCAATACAAGATTTGATTAGGCATAGGAAAGAGCAAATATAACAAAGTCTGATATGAAAGAGGAGTCAATACTCAATACAAAGATTTGGTCCAAGCATACTAACAAAATATAAGTGGGCACTGATATGCAGCTTCTTCAACTAGTTTCTTGCTCATATTCTTCACCTTCAGATTCCTCTGCATTGTCGGCGTCATCGTCATCCGCGTCATTGTCTAAGTCTTCCTTATCATTTTCGGTAGTGGTTTTCCCTATCAGAATCAGGTTGCTGTTCATCTTCCTGATTTCATTGCACTGCAATGACACGTGCCAACATTGATAGGAATGAGTAGGAGACAACGAAAATTAAGAACGTGAAATTCAAAGAGCACACTTCCTTGTACCTTGAAGCCTATTACCCTCTTAACATTTCAAAGCTTATATGCTTACATTGTTCTTTTCAAAGATATCAACCCGTGTCGTGTATCGGATCTGACTAATCCGGTTTAAGGTTTTAACCTCTTCACCATTTCGAGGAATGCAACTCTTAGAAATTGAATCCATTATCCTCCGGCAGATTAAATTGTAGGATCTAATTGGACCCGACTAATCCGGTTTAAGGTTTTAGCCTCTCCACCTTCCAAGGAGTTGCGACTCTTAAAAATTGAATCCATTACCCTCTGACAGGTTAAATCTTAGGATTTAATTGAGATACCACTGGATCAACAACTTGAGTATATATTTATCTAGTTACATGTATATAAACATGTACACACTACCTTACATCATGAATTATCCATTCATTCCTGAATGCTTATAGTATATGTCAGTGACTTCTTTACATATAATAGCTTTTCTTTTAGGAGGATCTTTGATTCATAAAGATATGAAATTTTAGGTTCAAAATATTAACAACATAAACATTTGCACATCAAAAAGTTATTTTACCTATTTACCCCTGATAGGGAGAGAGAAGAAATTTCTCACAAATTTCAGATTTAATCCCCACATGCCTCCCTGTATCCAAAAATTCCCAATCATTTCATAAAATACAAATCCGCAAACAATGTTTTATGAATACAACATCTTTATCCCGTGAATTCGAACTTGAAGCTAAAACGACACAGTTTTGAACGAGTTATTTTCTGTTAGAATAAAAAACCTAACTGAAGAATAAGGTTAGAGCGGAGAAGAGAGTACCTTTTCTTCAAAATCAGACTCCTCCAAGGCGAGAATGAGTTCATCATTATGGGGCTGAGGCCACTGAGAGGGTAGCAAAAACGACGTCGGAATAGTCCTCGTCGACAATGGGTGCTGCGTCATATACGCCGGGAACTGTAACATCTTTTCTTCGCTCTTTTTGCGTTTCTTTTTTTTTTCCCTCTCTTCAGTCTTCACTCACGCTCCAAAACAAGCTTTGTTTGGGTCCTGGGATTACTTTAACCCAGTTTTATACCTACTGGATGCCTTGTTCCTTTCTTTTTCCCTGATTGGGTATATTATAATTTTATTTTATTAAATAATTTAATAATACATATATCCTTATTTATTTATTTTTTAAAAATTTCATTTTAACAGATATTTTTTCATCCTTTTTACATAATAAAACTAGTTTATAAGGGTATGTAAATTAATTAATAGACTAATAATATATTTTTAGTTCATATTTTAAATATTGGTCAATTGAAAATTATAAAATGGTTAAGCATAAATAAATAGGGTTTTGATAAAATAATGTGCAAATTAAATCGTTTTTTTTTTTAATATTCGGAGTCTCTAAACTATTTTTCTTTTTTTTTGAAAAGCAAACTAAACTATTTTTCTATTTATAATAAGAGGGTACTGACGCCGTTATTGTTTTTTATTAATTAACTTACTCGTTTTTTCTCGATTTTTGAACCCTTATTTTTAATAGAGAAACTCCTTATTTCTTTTCACTACTACATGTCGGTTTTATTAATGGGAAAAATGTTTTTTATTTTAAATGACATAAAGTTATATGTCATTTTAAGAGAGATAGACACAAGAAAATATTTTTTATTTTAAATTTAAATTTTAAAAAAAAATCACTCACTTTCTCTTCCATAATTTTCATTTTAAGTTATGTTATTTTAAATTCTTAAAATAACATAACTTATGTTATTTAAAATAACAAATACCAAATCCTTTATTAAAAGTTGAATCAATAATATATTATTCATCATAACGTAACATCACTTTAAACAAAAAGAAGTAATATATTTATTAGGTTAATATATATATATATTATCTACGTTCGTTTCGTTGAAAAATTAAATAATTATAATGAAAAAGATTATTATAATTCTGAAATAAATTATAATTACAAAAATACATCGATCTTCATCTCAAAACAACGTCGTTTTGAGTTCAATGTAAATAAGTTATCTATATTGACTATAGAAAAAGTAAACCTGTGTATATTTAGTGTTCTTTTTATTTGAGAATCCATTTTGTTTGTGTGTAAATTATGAATGAAATTTAATCCTTCTTGGATTGTTGGAAAAATAAAAAAATATAAGAAAAAGCCAAAATTCACTTTTCCGTCGTATTTCTAAGAATCATAATTCCCCGATGAAAATAATTTTCTAACTGGGTGGCGATTTAGATATAACCTCACAGGAAAAAAAAATTCATCAATTATTCAATTAATTTGGTTTCAACATCCAATTCATTACAGAGCAACTTCCTCAAGATTTTTTCTCAATTTCCGCCATTCAAACTCAAGATCTACGAGTAAGAAAAATTAGAAAAGTTATTGATTGTTCCCGTTAAAAAATATGATAATTCCAAATTTGAACATCATTAGATGGGTTGGGACTTAGGAGTCTCACAAGTGAGACGGTTGTGTGTTTGTATTGTATTCACTTACATTCAATGTAGAATATTATTTACGTTCCCAACCTGCAAAAGTTATCGCCCACCGCCAAATTCGTATACTTTAATGAGGAAAGTGACTAGAATCCCGCAATAGTTGTACTCATCATATATTGACGACATCAATCGTGAAAGCAAACCCTTTTGGCACCGCAACCGCAACCCAACACAACAAAGCCACACGAAATCAAAATTTAAGGGAAATGTTCTGTCCCAAAACAACCAAAGCTGAATTGTGAGAAAACCATGTTCCAAAAGCAATGACTAATAAGCTTTCATTTGACCATTTGCCTTCATCTCAAGCAAACCGCTCATTCGATTTCTCTCTCCCATTCCACCTTCTTCTGCTGAGTCACTGTCTCACCCCTCGTGTCATTTACCTTCAACGTCCACGTCTTCTTCTAACACATGTTCAGTCCCAACGAATCAAAAAAACCACTCTTTGCCTTTTACAGTAAAACCCATTCACACCCGTTTCTCTTACTCTATTGCTTTATGTCTTGCAAGTTGTAAAGACCCAAGTTTTATTATAAAATGTTGAGGCTATATGTGTGTATATTAGAAGCCAAAGACCTACCCGTGAAGGACTCCTATGTGAAGCTTAAACTTGGTAAGTTTAAGTTAAAGACTAGGATATTAAGGAACACGTTCAGCCCCGTTTGGAACGAGGAGTTTGTTTTCAGGGTTCATGATGTAGAGGACGTGCTTATTGTCTCTGTTGTTAATCATAATGATGATGAATCCAAGGTGATCAATGGTTCTCTGGATTTTCTGGGTGAGGTACGGATTCCTGTAGGTTCAGTTGCTTTTGAGGATAAGCAAACCTTGCCGCCCACGTGGTTCTCTCTTAAATGTCCCAAGAGTGGGAAATTTTTCAATATATATTGTGGTTTGTTTCCCTCACTACGTTATTTTCGTAAACTATATATGTGACCTTTGATTGATTCTTTGGGTGGTCTCACTGTATATGATATATTTATGCTGCTTCTGAACTTTAAATACTCCTTTAACAATTTTGTAATTAAATTGAGAACATCTATAAGAAAATTACTATGTAAATTGTGTGCTGCTTAAGTTGGTTATATGAGACATCATATGATCTTTCCTGCACTTGGTTTCTGTCAATTTTTTCCTCATATTTGTTGCTAAAAGTTAGATTATTTTCCCCCCTCACAGTTGCAATATGTTGAAACTTGACTATACTGGTAGATAACATTATTAACATTTAATCTCGTGATTCCTACTTTTTATAGAATGTCTAGAATTTATGCATCGGCAGAGTAACACTAACTAAGGAACTCAGTTGGAAAAGTGATAATAAAATGTGTCCACAGGACAAAATCATGAGCTGGTGCTGCATTTCGCACTCTAATATTTTCTATTGTAACCTTATACACTGTTTTGTTCCTCACAGGTTAAACCACTGTTTTTTATTTCTTTCCTTAGTTTATACAACAAATAGAACTGATTTTTAGCTCCAATGTCTTGTATAACCAGGGAAAATTCTCCTTACCATTTCGCTTCATTGTAAAGGCCTTCCTTCCTTTATCAATCATAAGCACTCTCCAAATTCAACTATTGCAATTGAGGACTCAAAACACTTTGAAGGTCTGCACATTTCATCCCAGTCACCTTGTCGTAAAATGGGTGAAGGCAAACAGTTGCTGAAGGTAATTGCTAATCGTGTGGATAAGATTTTCAATAAGAAAGAAGGAGGCTCAAAACATGGGGATTCTTCAGAACCATCCAACTCATTATCTGATTATGAGCATAGTGTACAGGAAAATTCATCTCCTTGTAGCTTTGAAGAGGCCATTGCAATAATGGAATCAAGAGACAACAAACCAGAAATGCCTGAAAATTTGCAGGGTGGTATTCTAGTTGATCAGATTTATGCAGTGTCTCCTTATGATCTTAATGTATTTTTTTTTGCACCCAATTCAAAGTTTAGGAAAGATTTGGCAGAACTGCAGGGAACAACAAATATGCAAGAGGGGCAATGGTCATGGAAACAAGGAGATATGTCTTGTTTAACACGAGTTGTTTCCTATACAAAAGCTGCTACGAAATTAGTTAAGGCTGTTAATGCCACTGAGGAGCAAACCTACATTAGAGTGACTAAAGAGGAATTTGCTGTACTTGTTAGTGTAAGCACGCCTGAGGTCCCATTTGGGAATACGTTTCGGATTGAATTACTTTACAAGATAATGCCTGGAAGAGAGTTATCTTCTGGAGAGGAATCCTCCCATCTTGAAGTATCTTGGGGCATTGTCTTCCTCCAAAGCACAATGATGAAAGGCATGATAGAAAGCGGGACTCGACAGGGATTGAAGGAGAGTTTTAACCAGTTCTCCAACCTTCTAGCTCATAATTTTAAGGTGCTACATAAGGTAGATTTATCTGACAAGGAACACCTGTTGGCAACTTTGCAAACAGAAGACCAGTGGAATTGGTGGCAGGCAATCAAATACTTTTGGAATTTCACAGTAGTTTCTACCATTTTTATGCTTTTGTATGTGTTAGTGCATATTTTCAGGTGTGGTCCAAGTCTACCTCGGGGCTTGGAATTTAGGGGGCTTGAGTTGCCAGATAGTTTCGGAGAACTTGTTACAAGTGGGATTTTAATCATCCAGTTGCAACGTGTTTATAATATGGTCTCTCATTTTGTGCAAGCTAGATTTGAAATGGGTAAGCATATTATTTGAACCTATTATTTTGCTTGTTATCATTGTCAAGTGACTTCATCTGAAGCTTTACTTTTGACCACAGGAACTGACCATGGCCTGAAAGCCAATGGTGATGGATGGGTTCTTACTGTGGCTTTAATTGAGGGGGTTGAGTTGGCCTCCTTGGACTCAACAGGGTTGTCAGATCCCTATGTGGTTTTCACCTGCAATGGACAAACAAGGTCAAGCTCTGTCAAGCTCCAAAAGTCAGATCCTCAATGGAATGGTTTGGCCTTCTAACCTGCTATTTATCTTACAATATTTTTGCTTTGAAATGAATATAACTTTACTGGTATTTATACTAATATGCAGAGATATTAGAGTTTGATGCTATGGAAGAACCACCATCAGTTTTAGATGTGGAAGTTTTTGATTTTGATGGTCCATTTGACCAGGATGTTTCACTTGGACATGCTGAGATCAATTTCCTAAAGCACACATCAACAGAATTGGCAGACATGTGGGTCGTGCTTGAAGGAAAGCTTGCTCAGTCTTCTCAATCAAAGCTGCATTTGAGAATTTTCCTTGACAATAATAGAGGAGTTGAAACAATCAAGGAATATTTGGAGAAGAAGGAAAAGGAAGTAGGCAAAAAGGTAAGTACTAGGAATCTGACTCGCTCCCTTCCCTGTCCCCATGTATATGAATTTCTTATTCACAGCATGTATACATGTGTCAATATGTCTAACAATATTTTTTTCTACCATTTGGTGTTTTTTTTTTTCTGTTTGTATAATGACCATTTATAACTGTTTACTGTATCTGACTATTAATGGTTGGATGGCAGTTGAATCTGCGATCACCTCAAAGGAATTCTACATTCCAGAAACTGTTTGGGTTGCCTCCGGAAGAATTTCTAATCAATGATTTCACATGTTACCTGAAGAGAAAAATGCCTTTGCAGGTACTGCATGTGGTTGACATATTTAAACACATACTTCTAATAAATATTTGTTGACTATATAATATTTCAAAATAATTTGTCATGATGAATTAACATATAATAATCTACTTGGTGATATTTAATTAATGAGCTCCACAAACTAAATAAAGTATGCCTTCCTGCTGCAGGGTCGGCTGTTTCTTTCAGCTAGGATTCTGGGGTTTTATGCCAATTTGTTTGGACATAAAACCAAATTTTTCTTCCTTTGGGAAGATATTGAAGACATTCAAGTGCTTCCTCCATCATTGGCATCGGTGGGAAGCCCTACATTGGTCATAACTCTGCGAAGAGGTCGAGGTCTTGATGCAAGACATGGTGCAAAGTCTCAAGATGATGAAGGAAGACTTAGGTTTCATTTTCAATCATTTGTTTCATTTAGTGCTGCCTCGAGGTATTAGTTGGGCATGCTTTTTTTGTAATCTTATCTACCGAATTGATGGAATTTATTCATATTCAACTGACAACACATTTTGTTTCTATAAAAGAACAATAATGGCCTTGTGGAGAACAAGAATACTAAGCCCCTATCAGAAAGCACAACCTATAGAAGAGCATGAAGATCAAGAGGATGACTTAGTAATTCCTGAAGACACTGGACCTATCCTTCTGGATGAAGCAAAAATGTCCAAGATTTACTCTGCAGAACTTCCAATTAAGGTAAGCAATCAATTACTATTGCCACAATGAAACTGAAGATTAAATTTACTCTCACTTTATAGTTTTGCAGCCTTCTTAAATAAACACGAGTATTTGTTCCTATTTACTGCCAAGTCAAAAACTCTTCTGTAGTCTCTTGAGGGAATAATTTTCAAGTTTAAAATATGATACACTTAAGTGTGAATTTGTTTAGACACTAATGCAATGATGTGTTAGCACATCATTAAAAGAGTTTGGCTTCCAAGGTGATTGTTGTAATAGTCAGACTCTCTTAATGATTTGGCAATACATGATTGGTGATGATTTTTTTAAAGTATTACATTAACAGTTGATCAAAATTAAATTCATAATTTGATACCTCCTGATTTCAGCAAGTCAATTTGGTGTAAAGGAGGTTGTGATCTCGCCTTGGATGCTCTACCTTTCTTCCTTCCAAAAGAAAGTAGAGACTGGTTGTGCAAGTTGTCTTTCATTTTCAATAAACAAATTAGCATTTTTCGTATTTGGGAGGCATGGAATAAGAAAACTCCTAAGTAGATGAGTCAGTAATTATCTTCTTCAAGAATTAAGATTCTTGTGCATATAGTACTAAGTTTTTGTAGCTTCAATGCATTGTGTTACTCTTGCACAGATGAGATCAGTGATGGGAATTTTTGATGGAGGAAACTTGGAGCATAAAACTATGCAGAGAACTGGATGTATTAACTATGAAACTACAACCTGGGAACTAGTGAAGCCTGATGTCTATGAAAGGCGTGTTTCTTATCAATTCAATAGGCATGTGTCAGTTTTTGGTGGTGAAGTCACGTGCACACAACAAAAATTTCCAAATGCAAACACTGGAGGCTGGATTGTGAATGAAGTTATGGCCCTTCATGGTGTCCCATTTGCTGATCATTTTCGTGTATGCTAAATTGGAAATTATGCTTTACTGTATTTGTTATAAACTTAGGTTCATTTTTTTCCACTGAAGAGAATGTGATCTTCTCTGCCTGCAGATTCATTTTAGGTACGAAATTGAGAAATCCGCTCTTGGTGACTGTGCTTGCAAGTGTGATGCATATATTGGTAGTATGTGGCTTAAGAGCTCCAAGTTTCAGCAAAGGATCAACAGGAACATAACAGCCAAGTTTAACCTTCGATTGAAGGAAATATTTGAATTGGTTCAGAAAGAGATTTTGTTAACGTCTCAGAACTGACATGGCCAATGTTGAATAAATATAAATTGTATTTGGCAGAAGAAAAATGACTTTTCTGTGCAATTAGATTTCTGTATCCGATCAAAAATATAGTAGTTATTTATATATAATTTTTTTTTTAAATATAACTCTGTACAAAAAGAGCTAACTACCAAAAATAGTTAAAGTTAACTGTAAAGGAATAAATGTACCAAAAATAAAATAAAATAAAATTGTACAGGAATATTTTGTGTTATCTTATCTCTTTATCACGACTCTAATATAATAAGCTGCAAATTGTTTATTTTTTGGTTGTAGGCTACAGATATGGATCTTTAGGTCTTTGGGTCAGCTTTTGGTTACAGGAATCACACCTGTAGTCACTACTTGGAAATTTTTTTTGAGAATTTGTCACATAAACATTTGAGAATTTTGTAGAAATGATTTTTTTTTTTTAATTCTTAAAAGCTTTTTTAATTAAAAAAAAAAAATTCATCTTAAAATAAGCTGAAACACGTCATAATTTAATAGTAATCTTCTTATTTAAAGAAATTTATTATTCTTAAATCCTTAATTTCGGAGCCAAATCGTACCTGTCGCATTCTTAAAGTAAGCCACTTTATTACCTTCCAAGGTTAACGAGATTTTGTTTTAAGTACATGGGGCAACACACACTTACTAAACACTACACACACCCCACCACCACTAGGCTAGCCATAGTGGGTTTCAACCTTAACGAGATTTGAATTCCTGAATTCTTGCCACAATGGAGGCACATGGGTGAGTAGGCCACATCCACGTGTAGCAAATTAGATAGCAACTTGAGAATCACGAGCGATGTATAACTTTGGGTAGGAATTGCACCAAAGGACACACTACAGGGGAAGCAAAACCTCTCTGGAATCTGATATCACTTGTCATCAAACCCCCTTTAGCAACAAGCCAAACTGCCAAAGAAAGCACCTGATATTTTGGGGTTCAGGCCAACCCCAAATATCCAAGTTTACAAAACCCTTCAATGGCAACAGCAAGTCCATAAAGGGGGAAGGGGAGGGGGGTGGTTGTCAACAAAACACCTTTGTCTCCGATGGCAACCAAGAATGAGACGAAAACATAAATTTTTTCGCAGTTTCCAATGGACAATCTAATACCATACGACATTATTCCAAACCTTGTGCGACAAGTTAGATGAAGATGTGTCATTCTTGTTTTCAAAAAAGAAAAAGAAAGATATGTAATTCTTTACATCTCGGACTACACTTGTCCCACACTCAAGAACTCCCGCAACAGTGATGTCAAATCTTTTATCTAAATACGACGTGAGAATACTTTTTACGGGACTGTCGGTAGCAAACTTCACGCCAATAAATTTGTGACATGTGAAGTGTTTTCATAGAAAAAAAACTGATTGAACCAAGTTCCTTTCACAAAAAAAATACCATTGAACCAAGTTCGCTATCACTTTGACGTGTGAGAGTCTCATAAATATTTGGATAAAAAAAATTTGCTAACCAGTGTCACTTTTTTCAGAGATTTGGATCTTCTCATGTAAAAAAAATAGTAATGTGATTATGTTATTTGATCACAACCACTCATTTAAAAAGCATATACTTTTCTTTCTCTTATTTTATCATATTTTTTGCAGGAATTTGAATCTTCTTATGTAATAAAATAGTCATATAATTATGTTATTTGATCACAACCACTTATTTAAAAATTATATATATTTTTTTCTTTTATTTCATCGTTAATAATCACTAAGTAATTATGATTAAATAATATAATTACTTTTCGACAGTGGAGAACTATTTTCCTGTGCTCCCACCCTATACAAAGGACCGATTATTTGTTTCCACATTATTAAACTTATTATATATAATTGTTTAAGTACAACATTTTTATTTAAAAAAAACAAACATTTAGGGAATGAATTTTGGTTAAAAAAACTAGACCGATAAAATATTAGACCCATTTATTCCCAGTATCTGATTGGCCAGCTCAAATGAACCCAAGAGTGGCGTGACCTTATCTTTGTTCACATGCTGCAGCTGCTTACCAGTTACCGGCAACGCTATTTATCTAAAACAAACACACAAAACCAAAGCGATATTCTCAACGGTGCATTTTATTCTATTTAACAATTCTTCACCATCATAAATTCACATTATTCACAAACTAAAACCCTCTCTCTCCCTTTCTCTCTCTTGAATCGCTTGCTTCGAACGCCATGGATCCCAACCCACGAACCTTTCCGATTCTCTCCTACGTCATGTCCCGTCTCCCTTCATTGACACCCAGAACCGCCGCCGCCTCCGCCGCCGATTCCGATTCCGAACAATTCGACATCGAACAGCCACGCGCTCCGCCGCCCTCCGAAATCGTGGGCCAAATGCCTTACCTCGCGGACCCGAAACTCCTGGCCTCCATGACGCGGGCCATCGCGGAAGTCTCGCAGGCCCGGTCCGTACTCAACGTGATTGGCGAGCGGCCCACGCACGAAGAAGTGGACAATGCTCGGGCCCAGCTAGCTGACCTCGAGGCCCACCTCTCCCGACAGCTGGAAGAGATCGTGCTGCTGCCGAGGCCCCCGGAGATTGAGATCCACGCGTGGCGGAGCCACCAGGCCGAGAAGGAGAGGCAGTGCAGGGAATCGGCGGAAAATGAGAAGCGAGTTTTGAAATCGGTGTTACAGCTGGATGAGATGCACGAGGCCTACGAGAAGCTTCTCAAGGACGCGGAGAAGCGGTTGGTGAAAATGTACGAGTCCGCCGAAGATGGTGGTGGTGACGATGGAGAAGGAGACAGAATCGTTGGTGAGGAGGTGAATGAAGAGGTTGTGGAGATACTGCAAGAGGCCAACGGAAAAGGAATGGAGCGTGTGAATCTTTCTAGCCGGAGATTGAAGCTCTTGCCTGAGGCATTTGGCCGGATTCCTGGCTTGGTGGTGCTTGACGTTTCAACCAATCAGCTTTCGGTAAACTCATTTGATTTTTTTGGTTATTTCTTTGTTCACTTATTTGATTTTGAAGTATTTATGCATTTTAGTAACAAACTCACTTTTAGAAGCTTTAGCCTGCTTGAGATGAATTGAATTTGATTAGGATTTTGAATGTGTGTTGTGATGTGTTGCTTGCCTCTGTGTCTTGACAAGCACAATAGAGCAAATGGAAACATGTAAAATCAACTAGCATGTTTTAAAAACAACCCAACCACACATGTTATTTGCAGATGGAACTCAGTTTGTATACTCTGAACTGTCAGAGTGGATGGAGGTCTTGAGTCTTTTGTCCTTTTATAGTTTGTGAAGCAGTTCTTAAATAATCATGATTGCTCCTTTGGTAAATAGAGTTTGTATGTGGGAATTTTCATCCGTTTGTTATTAAGGATGTTTCTTTGTCGGCTATTTCAATTTGTTCCTTGACAAAAGGATGAAGATGGAGTAGGGAGTAAACTTAAATCACTGAAGCTGAAATTTGTAGTGAGTCTCGAGTGAAACTAGGGCTGAATTTGGGTTTGAAACTTCTACCATCTCAAATATCTTGCATATGAGCATTCAGCCAATTGTGAAGAAATTTGTTGGTATTGTTTTATATTTTATTTATGCTAAGTTCATATGTAGTTGTAGATTTATAGATACGGAAAATAAATATTTTGTACCTGCTCTTTATTACTCTATCCTTTTTAACATTGTTTTCAAAACCAGACTGGTCATTGGATCAGTAAAGACATTAGTTTACCGTTTACTGGTCTAACTATGGTTGAACATGGTGCTAGTTAAATATATATTTTTAATATTATACAATATATCAAGTAATAAGCTAGTATAAAATCATAAGAAGTCAAATTAGGTGAAATTCAAAATTAGCTTAAAAGGACTATATTATATGTCCTGCATGATAAAAAATCAATAATAGAATACTAATTATTAACAATCCATATGTGTGACTTTATTTGTCTCAAAAAAATTTGCGATTAAATAAAAATATTAAAATAAATAAATAAAAATATTAAAAAAAAAACCCATTCAACTTCTTACCAGTTTTTATTGGTTTTTGATTCCACCGATTCTCCACCAGTTCTCTAATTTTTCGGTTTTCTAGATTGTCCAGACTAGTGACTAGACCAATTCACTGGTTTTTCATTCAAACTAGCCAGTTTGGTCCGGTTTTTAAGACAACGCTTTCTAACGAAGATTGGTGTCCATAGTGGATTAATGGGAAATTGAGAATAGTCAAGAAAATGAACAAATAAGCAACTATGTAAACTTGTTTTGCAAATTTTTATTTTTGCAATGAAGCTATTTTATCCTTCCATATGGAAAGCGTGACTGCTTTGGAATTAGGGAGACCAATTTTCACGTATAATGTACTAAAACAGTTTTGAAGACTAACAAAACAAAATTATCCTTTTGAATTCCTTGCAATAACTTTAATGTTTCCTTTATAATGTATTTTATAGTTCATCTTATTGGGCTTTACCTGGAATTATTATATTCACATCATTCTATTTTAGCCATAGAACATAATCAATTACTCTCTTTTTTCAAGTTTTACCCGTTTTGGCTGATGCATGAAGTGTATCTTTGTGCAAAAATGGATAAATGACTATGCTAATCTCCACTATTATTTCAGAAATCTACATCTACTTGTGACAGAAATATATAGTTAATGTCAGCTTTCATTTTTAATGTGTCTGCTTCTTGGTGCTCCATTGATATGTTTAAAATCATATTGCAAGTACTGATTTACTTAGTTCATCCAGTATTCCAGCCTTTCTTATAATTTCACATATATACTAATATATTCCGTGCAACACAATAGGCAATTCCTGACTCAATAGCTGGATTGCAAAATCTCGAGGAGCTTAATCTCTCTTCAAATCTTTTGGAATCACTGCCAGATTCAATTGGGTTGTTACAGAATTTGAAATTGCTCAATGTCTCTGGAAACAAGCTGACTGCTCTTCCTGATCCCATCTGTCAGTGCAGGTATGTGAGAAATTCATAAGAGCAACATTTTTTATATTGTTGCCATTTTACCAACATCCATGTGTTAAAGCTTACATTTATTTTGGACACAAACAACCATGTTTTAAGAAATGATGGTTAACTTTAGTGGAGAGCTTCATATGAGTATTTTGAAAGCCATGCCTGTTGAATGTAGATTACTAGACTAGTGATAGTAGGAGCAGTTTTACACATGTATGAGCAAGAACTGTTTTTTATTTAAATTTGTCGAATTATAAGTATTATATCATATTATATCATTATGTCTTTCAGCCTTTTGAAAATCTACTTTAGTGTCCAAACAATTTAAATTTTCTCATTCCCAATTTTATGTTCTGTTTCTGCATTTATCATCTCATTTTTTAAATAACTATTCATGGCAGGAAAACATACTCAAGTCATTTAGGAATTTCTTCAAACTATAAATGCTGTAATTATCATTGATCGAACCCCTTTTTTATTTTTATACTGAATGATCAGGTCACTGGTGGAGCTGGATGTAAGCTTTAACAGTCTATCATATTTGCCGACAAACATTGGATATGAATTACCAAACTTACAGAAACTCATGATTCAATTGAACAAGATTCGATCTCTTCCGTCATCTATTTGTGAGTTGAAGTCCTTGCGCTATTTGGATGCTCACTTTAATGAGCTACGTGGGCTTCCTATTGCAGTTGGGAGGCTGACTAATCTAGAAGTTCTCAACTTGAGCAGTAACTTCAGCGACCTTAAAGAACTTCCAGAGACATTTGGTGATTTGACTAACCTCAGGGAATTGGACCTCAGCAATAATCAGATTCATGCACTTCCTGATACATTTGGTCGCCTTGATAATTTACTCAAACTAAACTTGCAGCAGAATCCTCTTGAAATGCCACCAATGGAGATTGTAAATCAAGGGGTCCAAGCCATAAAGACTTTTATGGCCAAGAGGTGGGTTGATATATTGATGGAGGAAGAAAGGAAAAGCAGTAACGAAATGCAAGAACAAGGACAGGGTGGCTGGTTAACTCGAAGCACTTCCTGGTTGAAGAATGCTTCTGAAAATGTAATTGGGTATCTTGGAACTGCCGTTGGATCTCCTATGTCCCCCAAATCTCCCAGAGATGCTTATCTTGATCAGCAGCTATGAGGTGATGGTCCAGCACAAAATGGGGACTGTGAGACATGTATTTCAGATTAAGATTTTAGATAATATCTGCTGCCAAGCAGCAATTCCTTTCTATCTAACCTAAGGGAGGGTGGGATGATTTGCTAACAGATATTTTTGTTTGGGTTAAAGCGTTGGATAATCAAGTCTAGCAGCTTTTCAGGTAAAGATGATGATCTAAAAACCAATTCAACCAAGGATGAGGTCACAAATACATTTAAATTAAATAAGATAAATTATTTGAAATATTTATACATAATTATGTATACAAATGTATATGAAAGATTCAGTGTATGGAGTCGTGATTAGGAAAGAGGCCATGCCTCCTCAAATGTTATGGTTTATGGTTAATAGCATAGCAATAATAGTTTTCTGTAGTTGTTAATTCTCAGGTGAGCTGATCTTGTATGGAATGACGGAAACAAACGAGCATAGTGTGCGATCTGAATGAAGTAAATATACTTGGCTGTCCTTGGAAATCCTTATGGGCTAGTGTTCTATCAGTAACCAAGCAAATCTTTATGTGAATGACTGAAATCTTTATTGGCTAGTGTTCTATCAGTAACCATGCAAATCTTTATGTGAATGACCGAAATCTTCCATGATGCATTTCCAATATAATGAATGTTACACGGAGCCTGTTGGGAAACAACGTTAAACAAAGTACCTGACTAAAATTCTTGGATGGTACATGAGCAAGGGGGAAAAAAATAAAGTACTCCTGGTCAAAATTTCGACACAATAAAATTAAAAATGGGGTATATTTATCGAAACATAATCATCAATGCTATAAGTTAAAAAGAAGTTACAACCATGAGATGTAGCTAATATTGTATTTATATTTATTTTTTGATTAATTACTAACTTTAAGAGAGAAGCAAAATTGTGTAAATTAAAATTATGACTCCTAACTTGCATTATTATCATACTTTTTGCAGGTTATTGCTTCTGTAAAAGAACTCATTTTATGACTCTCATGGTCTAAACTTGAAAATTTTCTTTAAGGCTTGTTTGGGAGTTAGTTTTAGGAGGAAAATGAAAGGAAGATGAGGGTTTTATTAATTTCTTCCCTTGTTTGAGAGTTTAAAAAAGTGAGTTGAAGGAATTGAGGATTTTCGCAAAATCCTTCTTGTTCTTAAAATTTAAGTTCTCCCATTTTTTGGGGGATTTGATGGAGGGAATATTGGAAATTATTAATCTGACCATTCTGAATGTGCTTTGAACCAAACCTCCATGGTTTTCCTACTGTCCATGGTTTTCCTACTGTCCCCTTTTAAGCTGATGGTAATTAATATTCTTTGCATTTTGTAAAGAAATAAACCAAACAAGATTTGTCAATTTAGAATTGTTTGAAGTTACGTGAACACCAATGTCTAACTTGATAGGTAGTAATTATATCTACGGGGCAAAGGTATAGATGACTGGTAATGGAAAGTTCAGTACCTCTAGTCAATAGTCCGATGGTAGTAAAGGGTGTGTGTGTGAGTCACTTGCTTAGTGGATAGGATGTGCTCTGGGCACAAGTCTGAAGGCTGTAACCATGGTGGCAAACCTTGTGAATACTGAGATAACTTGTGAATATGTGACTATTGAAAAGGTTGTAACCATCCCCGCCCTCGTCAGCGCTCGGCGATCACTCCTCATCCCAGAATTGCTCCAAGTCAAGCACGCTTAACTGTGGAGTTCTTCCGATCCGGGCTACCGAAAAGCAGATGCATCTTGTTGGCATAGGTAGTACCAATTAATTATTATAAGCTATCCCAAACTGTGCAGTCTTATACCTGCACAGCCTTTGGAATTCCTCTCTTTCGGGTGTCGATTCGTTTCATTCATGCATGTAACCCCCCGCTGGAAGCCTGTCAGGAGCCGCTCCTTGTCCGTGCCTCTTTGCACGGGCGATCACTCCCCGCCCTCGTCAGCGCTCGGGATGTTACATGCCCACCAGCTTCCGCCTGGTTCGTCCTCGAACCACACCGTACTGGATGAGAGGCCCTGCTCTGATACCACGTGTAACGCCCGACCGCTTCAAGAATCAACGATTGTCCCCACACACTAACACGAGACTTTTCAGCGTGTTTTATCCTCACTCGCACACTTTCCGGAAAAACTTCCCAGGAGGTCACTTATCCCAGAATTGCTCCAAGCCAAGCACGCTTAACTGTGCAGTTCTTCCGATCTGGGCTACCGAAAAGCAGATGCATCTTGTTGGCATAGGTAGTACCAATTAATTTTTATAAGTTATCTCAAACTGTGCAGTCTTATACCTGCACAACCTTTGGAATTCCTCTCTTTCGGGTGTCGATTCCATTTATTCATGCATGTAACCCCCCGCTGGAAGCCTGTCAGGAGCCGCTCCTTGTCCGTGCCTCTTTGCACCGGCAATCACTCCCCGCCCTCGTCAGCGCTCGGGATGTTACATGCCCACCAGCTTCCGCCTGGTTCGTCCTCGAACCACACCGTACTGGATGAGAGGCCCTGCTCTGATACCACTTGTAACGCCCGGCCGCTTCAAGAATCAACGACTGTCCCCACACACTAACACGAGACTTTTCAGTGTGCTTTGTCCTCACTCGCACACTTTCCGGAAAAACTTCTCAGGAGGTCACCTATCCCAGAATTGCTCCAAGTCAAGCACGCTTAACTGTGCAGTTCTTCCGATCCAGGCTACCGAAAAGCAGATGCATCTTGTTGGCATAGGTAGTACCAATTAATTCTTATAAGTTATCCCAAATTGTGCAGTCTTATACCTGCACAGCCTTTGGAATTCCTCTCTTTCGGGTGTCGATTCGATTCATTCATGCATGTAACCCCCCGCTGGAAGCTTGTCAAGAGTCGCTCCTTGTCCGTGCCTCTTTGCACCGGCGATCACTCCCCGCCCTCGTCAGTGCTCGGGATGTTACACATGGGACTTTATGCTCGTCGTACAATATTGAACTCAGGCGCCCATAGTATCAAAAAAGCATGGGACTTAATGTTCACGGTTCAATGTTGAACTCGAGTACCCATGGTCTCAGAAGAATAAGGACTTAATGCTTATGGTTCATTGTTGAACTCGGGTGCCCATGGTCTCAGAAGAACATGGGACTTAATGCTTCTAGCCGGATTGTAATTGCTTTGTCATTGAATTATGACGCTGGTGGATGTATTGCATCATGAAAAACATGAAATATGCAAACTTGCAAGGAAGATGTCATGAGTTAATTTTTAGGTTGCTTATAAAAAACAAGAATAAATATAAGAGACAGGAAGAGTTAAAGAAGGAACCACACATGTGCTATTAAATTTGGTGAGTAGAAGTTCATACTCTAATATTGGTTTATATTGTGGTGAAGTCCTGCAAGGGTCTCAAAGCAGAATGTTTTGTCTACAAACATCGGCTCCCCTTCAAAGCCTAACATGGCCATATGAAAGCTTGTCAAACATAAATATCTTACAACTTATTCAAAAGGCAAGCTCTCTTGCATCTACATTGAAAAGTCAAGAATGAAAAAACTGTACTTTGGAAAAACTTAACACTATCAACATATATTTCTTTTGAAAAATAATCTTTTCCATATGACCATCCATTAGGCAACCTATATAAGATGTGCTTATCAATTGGTTGAAATATGTTTATGTATTACGTCACTTATAATTAAAAATAGAATCCAAAGATGTATCTATGCAATCAAAGTGTGTCCAATACTTGAAGTTCTCTATAGGCAACAAGTTCCAAACTGTTGAAGAAGCAAAATGGTTCTGTGTATCTGATACTTAATTAATTAAAATAAAATCAATTTTCTCCAACGAAGATAATAAATATGGTGCAAATTCTAATTGAAAAGAATGACAATGTTACTTATAAGAGCACTCTCCCGCTTACAAAAAGGCATAAAACTCTATTGCTATTTCATATTTTATATGCAGATCTTATATTGACAAAATTATGAAGAAATTAGGTTCAAAATAATGTGGCTTTTTGCAGTTTCTTTGTTCAATATGCTAAACCAGTCATAGCTCAGCAAAAGGAAAATTATTTAGAGGAAATCTATCTTCTCTTTGTAAAGAGATCCATAAATTTATCTACCTTCTCCCTTATTTCTAGAATAAACACATGATTAAAAATAAAGGAAAAGAAACACAAAGCCTGATGTTAGTAGTTTAGAAGTATATATAAAGGAAAACCTCTCCTCTCTAAGTAATTCGATCCATTTAGTACTAGGAATGATAAACAAAAATACACACATGCTCCTGAAAAATGACCCAAAGGCTCTATATACGTGTAAGTTTTATGAGGATAAGAATAAATGTGTTAAATGATAAAGTTGAAATTTGTAACCAAAAAGCAGTTGTAGATAGATTTGAGGAGATAAATATCATATAAATGTGCGGCCTTTATGGAAGTGAAGCTTGAGCCTTCCTCAAAGAAATCAACAAGTTGAGAAATAACTTCATTAGTGGGAATCAGACAATAAACAAAATCAAATAAAGAGGGATTTCCTATGAATCTTGTAAATTCTACAAATTGACCAAAGTCGGGAAAATTTTGGATTAAATTATATAAACATTCGACAATCTTTTGGATTCATTCGACTTGTTGGTCATAGTTATAGTTGCTCTCTTTTTTTCATTTTGAAGATAGATTCAAATCAATATGGAAGAAAAAGATCCAGGAAAGGGGAAGAGAAAAGGTAATCACTGCATATTGTGTTTTCTACTTCATACTTTTATTTATTTTAAATAGTTGGAGTTGAATTAGAAATACGAAAAAAAATTAGCTCATATTCCTTTTCTGTAAGTCTCATCCAATTGATTTGCATCCATTTTGTTTTGATATTATTGATGTGCACGACTAAGCAATCCTCTTTTTTGAAGTTGCACACTCGTCTGACTTCAACATGATTAGACAGTGGAGAAGTGGGCTCCTTCTCCTGCTCCTTATTTCCTTCTTTCTGCCCATCCCTAGGCGGGCTCTTGCTTCTGTCGGATCTCTTCCTTCCCTCTTTCTCCTTTTTATACAATTATCTTGTCCTCTTCTTTTGATATATTTTTGCATCTTTCCTTGTTTGATCACTACTCAATGTTATCTCGCAAGTTGTAACATTCAATGTAATGTACCCATAACATCTGTGAAACTCACACCACTTGGTCATATCCATTTATGCTTAAACTAACCTGGTTGGAGCTGGTCTTTGTATGTTGGCATCTCGATGTTTATTACTTCCTTCTAGATTTGTGTTCGGGAAGTGTTTAATGGGGTGAATTTGCCCCTGAATCCTTCTCTGAATCCTTTTCCTCTCAAGCGAGCTGGTCTTGTTTTAGTTTGATTCTTGGAACTTGGATTATCCTCTCTCT